TGAGCTTTCGGACTCGTGCAGGAGTTCGTCGTCAGAGATAGTAGCAGCTCGAACCCTCGCCTTCTTCACTTATGCATAGACCTGGAACTCGAAATTTCGCCTTCATTCTCCATGATAAGAACGCGTACGACTGTCAGACCGGAAGTCGCCCTTAAGTCTAAGTCTGACAAGCATAGTCTGTAAATCAAAGTACTTAGGGCTCGAGTGTTTGCCCACGGGTAAAATACACTATGCTTGTGATCCTGGAGCAGCCTGTGGAAAACCATCTAGATTCTAAAGGACGTGACGCCTTTTCAAGTCTACCTACAGCATGGTCTTCTGGTTAATGACTTCTTTTTAAATTGATAATTAGACTGACCCTACTCACCCAATATCAGAAGTACTTTAGTTTCCACTGTCATCGCTTAGAGACCAGCATCCAAGTAACACCTTCGGAAGATAATCCAATAAAGTTATACCGATGGACGTGTATTACAAGGTTGAGGAAGATGACTCTCCTGCAGTTCCAAGTTAACCCGAATTGCGAGAAAATCGCAGATATAGAACTTACGTGAATAGCAATCAAGAGAAATGTTTTGATTGTCATCATCAGCATCCACTTAATCGTACTTCCTCAAGGCCACAGTGGGATGTATGCATGCCGTGTACATATATTTTCGAGATAATGAAGGAGCCTTTGGTGCCCCTATTGATATACAGTTAGAAATATAATGGTAGGGGACGCTCACCGATCGTTCTTACGGAATTCACTCGTCCCGTTGTACCTTACGGACTCTCTCCAGAGCCAAACCAGCAGCCACACAGCGGCGCATGATATAGGCACTATGTTATTACCGACAAATACAACGGAGACTGGAATGGCCATTTCTAGCTTATTAGCCGTCGTCAGCCAGTCATACCCAACCCCGAAGTGTATAACACCCGAGGCTGGAACTCGCGACCTATTAGTTAGAAGTCCACACCTCTAACAACTGGGCCACGAGCCCGTTGCCCTGTCGATTTTCAATCGGGAATATACAATGGTAGGGGGCGCTCACCGATCGTTCTTACGGAACTCACTCGTTTCGTTGTGGCTTACGGGCTCTTTCCCGAGCCCAACCAGCAGCCGCACAGTGGCGCATGATATAAACAGTATGTTGTTACCGACAAGGTCAAGGGAGATTGGAATGGCCGCTTCTGGCTTATTGGCCGTCGTCAGCCAGTCAAAAATATAAACGCAATTATTTACGCTCAGAATGAATATAGTCGTTTAAAAGGTTTATGACGACATTTTACATCAAACGTGCGGTGATTCGACACATAAAGTTCATAGCTGGTAATAGATAGTCCTGCAGATCGAGACGTTGTTCTTTAACAATCAAACGACCCAACAGTTTTTTAGACACAGCCATGTTACTATAAATAGCACTGTAACTTGTGGACTGGTTTCGCAATTGAAATCCACGCTTGTCAGAAAGAAAAATTACGCCGGTCTAGGCGCGTACATTTCTAGTTGACCTCGTGGGCGACTCACATTTGCAAGCTCGAAGAAACATCCAGGTCCTCGCGAAAGCGTGTCCGCGGATAATTTGGAATGTCCAAAGCAGGTTGAACCCCAATCGTATTTAAAAGAGGAAAGGCGAATTGAGCTTGATAAGTCTTTCCGGATAAAACAAAGTTCTATGACCGTCCGCTGCACCTTCACAATGGGACCGATATCTTTGTTTGTCCAAAGCATCCTCGTTGGCCTTTCGTTTTCCAAATGCCGTCTAGCGAACGCACCAAAGATACACGCAAAGAGTTCAGGAGGAAAGACTATGAAAGCACGCCTAATCCGGTGCGTGATGTTCTTTGCCTTTGGGCATCAAGTCCGAAGTTGCCCGGTTGCCTAGATATTTATGCGTCTCCACTTCTTTTAGTGAAATTCCATCTATGTAGTACTGATGTGTTAGAAAAGACTCCAACCAGCTTCCAAGAGCATAACTACACATCTGGATGCATTAAACGTTAGAAGCCAATTGGTGGACCAGGCGAATAGTTTTAGAGTTGCGAAAATCCCCAGTGAAAAATTCAAAAGACAAGCTGGCGAGCATATGTCTGCTTTCGAAAAATTCTCTTTAGGCCTGCATATTTAAATGGCTTTTGAATTAATGAATCGCAAGATGCAGGAAAGTTGATTATTTGCTGCAGCTCAGGCTGGGGGAGAGGAGTGAAACACTAAAATTTTAGTCAGCGCAAGGGGGAAGGTGAGCTCCGGAAAAGGCACATATATGGGGCTGGCTGACTTGGTGGATTTGAACTATGGCAAGTGGAAGACCGGCTTACTTAGCCTGATTGCAGCCGCCTCTGCCGTAGCCAACAGGTGGTGTCTAAGCAGTCTTGGATAGTTGGACAGAACCTTGTAAATCGCTTGAAATGCCTCTCTGGCATCTGCACGGTGGTCTGTGTCTACCATCTGCGCGAGGATAGTTTTTGGTGTTCTTTATGTGACCCCTTCTTAACCATGCCAAAAGATGTTCTTGTATTCCCTTGGACAAAGGCCGGCTCGTGTGCCAATACATTCTGCCCGAAAGGAGCAAGTGAAGGATTCAATGCACATAGAGGTTGTCTGAGCTATTAGTTTGTCCTTGCCCTCTCCGTATGTGATGGGACTAGTGGAGGACGGTGCACGAGTGTCAGCTGCTAGAAAGATCCGTGACACAGCTATAGTAAGGCACCTTCTTAAGAATTCACTTGGCGTGTCCCCTTGAAATGAAACCCTGATAAAAAGCCTTTTCTTCCCTGCTGTCAGCATCAGGGGCTTCAGTGGTCTTTCGCCTATGCTCTCATCAATTAGTCGATCATGGCACTCGTGATGATAAAAAAGATTTCTGATTATCTTCAACTCTTTCTCAATGCTTTTAGCCGAGCAGATTCTTCTCACCCTTTCTGTCAGATAGTGGACTAAATTACGTTTCACATTTAGAGGTACGAAGCTCCCAAAACGAGTGTGCTGTCCGGACCACATCTTCATACGATAAACCCTATAGAAGCGAATGGGCGAGTTCAAGGTAGCAGTTCAGAAGCACGTCCAAGCAGGGAAGCAAACCGGATTGTTCTTCTTCCAGCGTAAATTTTATTGATGGGTGCGCCCGGTTTATATCATCCAGTAGAACTAAAACGTCACCTTGTTCCGGTACAAGCGCGATTACATCATTCACGTAGCGTCCATAGTATCTCAGATGGTTGATCTGGTGACGTAGTTGGAAGACTTGCAGCTTCTCAACGAATATATTCACTGAATGCGGGCCAAGGAGCGAGCCCATAGTTGCGCCGTCCATCTGTCTGTACAGGTTGTTGTCCAATAGCAATTGCATGTCCAAGGTACACCTCAATAACACTTCCTTGAGGGCATTCACCGGTATTTCTATATCCTGCTGATTGGCAACAATAAAATCGCAGAGGCAGTTGGCTGTTTCCGTGACTGGTGCGTTTGTAAAAAGAGATGGAGCATTCAACGAAAACATAACCACCTCGTTTAGATCGAGGTCTTTCACACCGTTCATGAATTCAAAGGTATCAGAATTTTCTTGTAGTTTCTGCGTATTGTCAGTCCAGCTGATAGCTTTCTGGTTTTTTTTTAAATATCTCCGGCGGACATGACGGAATCACAGTCACGATATTCAGTGCAGTCTTTTATACAGATTAGGAAGAGAGGAGAAATAGCCACCGAATCCCGTGAGACACCGTTTTCTACTCGTACCCATCCAAACGCTGCGGTAGCAGAAATTCCTATTTACTGACTCAATGTTGGGAAACTGCCATTCCACTTAGAGTTTTAGTCATGGATTCTACACCACCAAATATTGTATAAGAGTCGACGATCGGGTAAGCTATTCACCGCCTTCTTTATGTCACAGGAAACTGTATTCACTGAACAACCCTTGTTTATGGATATTTTCCACTTTACCTACGAGCAAAGACTGCTCGTAAGACACAAATGACCATGACGGAAACGGTACTGGTCAGTACATACTAAGTTCCTCTGTCCCAGATGCATCGCTAATCACCTTTTAGTAATTTACTCCATCATCTTGCATCTAGTGCCTGCTAAACTTTTAGCGGGTCTGGTCAATTGACAACGCCATCCCACGCTGTGACAAAGTCGAGAAAAACCAAGCTAAACGACCACACCAAAAGGAACCTAACTGTCAACACCGCCCAGTGAAGAAAAAAGGCAATGGGCGGAAAGTCGCTTCGTGGAACCGAAACTCACGCCAGATGGAGCCTCCGCGTAACCCCTACATAAACACCACTTAAACAGAAGTTAATAAATGCTAGTTTAGGAAATGCTTAACAAATATAATAATTATAAAAAGTCATGTATAACCAAAAAATATGACAACGGGCTGCCATAAATTAATGGGATGGTAAATTTTCTACCATAGAATAGATCCTCTGTAATAGATCGAGAAGATAATAGTAGTTTCCCATTCCTCAGGCAGTTCGCCTCCTTCCATAGACTTTTAGAACATCCTCGATACTGGCATGTACAGTACGTCGGCCTATTCTTGAAGGGCCAGCTGATGAGTCGGATATGGGCCAAGTAACTGGGCAGAATTCAGCCAGCCGAATCCTGTCTTTGTCGGGGCAGGCAAGAAGTAATTATTATCTTCTAGCGCAAACAATGTATAATCCTGTCGTTTGTTTGGGTGGAATAGAGAAGAACTGGCTTCATTAGTGGATACCGACTAAAGAAATCTAGCGAAGACTGATACTTTTGCTTGGCTTTCCGTCTCCAGTGTTGTTTCGGGACCACAGCTTCGGAACCCGATCACGATTTCTTTTGTTATTACGGATGAAACCGTATGGGGGTCGTCAGTATAGGCGTAAACAAAGTACAGGCCATAAAGTACCCTGTCTGCGGACATGTGAAAAGTTTGAGAGGCGTTCCTCAGTCCAAACGGCATGAGCAGGAACCCAAAGTGGCCAACGAGGGTGGTGACTGCCGTCCTCGAACAGTTCTCCCCAGCGATGGGAATTTAACGGAACGCCTGAATCAGGTCAATCTTGGAGAAGACAGACTCTTCGAATAAAACATCGGCAAAATCCTGGAGATGCGGCACAGGGTTGAAGTCAGGAATAGTAACGTTGTTCAAGGTTCTGTAGTCACCGGAGGGGCGCCAGTTACCAGTGGCGGCCTTGTGATCCATATGAAGGGGTGAAGCCCAGGGGTTTTCAGACCGACAGATGATACCAATCTGAAGCATGTGCTCAAACTCGGCCTTGGCGCCAGTCAGACGCGCAGGTGGGAGACGGCAGGACCGAGAAAACATGGGAGGACCAGTGGTAGGTCTGTGATGAACAGCGTCATGCACGGGGATAGTGATGCTGAAGTTCGGTCGCCGAAGTTGGCCGTGGATTTCCCTCTGACCGAATGCTGTTCCCCAAATACAATTAACTATGCCTTACTTATCCCGAGTAGGGAACATATGGAAATGTCATTAGGTACAAAATAACCAACGACAGGATTCGAATTATGTGATTGATCCTCTATGAAGCCTACTGATTTGGATTCTATTATCATGGAGTCAGTTGCGTTAAGAACATAGGGATCTGAGTTTAGATCTCTACATACAACCCAAGAAACCGATAATGGTACAACCACCAGAGTATTTCTTTATATCTCTGGAGTAAGCAATCAAAACGATCGAATAAATTTTCACCACCGGAGCAGCGACATTTAAACTGAGAACGATAGTCGTCACTATACTGGTCCAACTCTTTATATCCATCTTTCAAATAGAGAATTGACCGTGTAAACGTTTTCTTAATTCGATGGCCATGTAAACAATAAAAGCGGTGACAGAAAAAATGGCAGTGGTGATATCACTTTATGTGCTGTCCATCCTGTCGAAGAGCTAGAACCCGCCCCGTTGCCTTCTAGTGTCTATATATACTCTTTCCAGTGATGGGTTCCATCGAGTGATCTACTCCGCGCTAATCCTAACTTTATTTCCCAGTAACTGGCGCAGGTTGTCGCAACGCCCTTACGTAATTGTGGATCGGAGTGGCGCTCAGCAAATCCTCACGAGATCAGAGTCAGCCGTACTGACATTTTTTACGCTTTTTCCGAACAATAAGACTTTTCCGAGACCCCCACTATTTGCAAAGTTAGGCAATGTCGCCCAAGTTTTGCAACTATAGTAAATTGTTGGAGGCGAGTCTTTGAAGAGAATGTAGAAACTGTCTTCATCGATGCGGTAGGCCGCCAAATACTTTCTGCTTTGCTTCGTGTCCGGCGTAATCGGAATATTTATAAGATATGTTAATTGCTCTTTATTTTGTTTAATGTATCTCCCGAGATATCTGTCAATAATGAAGCCATACTGGATCCTGTGTCTGGCTCTCTGATATTTCTGTTTTCTAATCCGAGCTGACAAAACTAAGGCATACACACAACATAATTATCTTAACATTAGATAAAGTTTGTCGTGGTAAGAGTTTATTGCCTTATGGTGACTTTACTGAGCTAGATGTAGACTGAAAAATAGTGAATCGTTCTGCCGGGAAATGTCATAAACTAGAACTAGTTTTGACTGGCTCATGACGTTATTCTAACCTAAGGACTACTTCGTCCAAGTTATTGCCAATTTGTTTCATTTCAGTGTGATTCACATCTTGTTAAGCATGTTATATTATGGCTTTTTACTCGTCAAATGTACAGTTCTTGCGAGCTTCCACGATCACTCCCCAATACAGTCGGTAATCACCAAAATTAATATCCGCAGTGAAAGTGTAATCGACAAAAATTTCATAGAACTTAAAAGTGGGTGTAGCAGCAGCTACGGTTGCGTTTATAATAATGTCAAACCCAAACATTTATGCGAATACCTAACTGTGAAAAGCTTTCAGTGGTGTGCACGGAGGACCGAGTATACAGGACGATAACTGTAGTCGATCGGGTCGGCCTGTAGTCCCACTCTCTAACATTTACATGCACCGTATCCTGTTCAAGTGCTTGGCTGGTGCCTCTTTGCCCACGCGAAGGGCTGCTTTTTAGATTCGCCGGACCAAAACAGGGGCCGGATTGGCTCACGACAGGGGCAAATCAGGATGCGATTATTTCACGCCAGTCCGTGAATGCTGTCGCACATGGCGGTGTGGTGGTACGTCTGGGGGCAGGCTTCACGCCGTTCCAACCACTGCGCCCAATTGTATCACCAGCGGGTTGACAGGCTTGGGCAGTTGACTGGTGCATGAGGTCAACTCTAGGGAATCCATCTCCACGGCACACCAGCGCATTGACTACTATAAGAAATCTGACGCGCATGAATATATCACGATGCGCTAGAAGTTTGTGACGACTGACCCGGTGACTCTGTTCTCTCAGGACTGACAGTCAGGCCCAATGGTACTCCGACTTAGGTGGAATCCGAGCTGCCCTCAATGAAAGCCTGGCACATGTCTGCTGGAACCAGGACGTGCGTGGCAGGCGTAGACGGGCTACTCGGGTTAGTCAGCCCCTGCTCTCGATTCCACCTCCGGTCGCCTTGACCCTGTTCTGACATTGAGCTCAGGTAGGAGAAGGCGAAGGGATCTGGCAGACGCGGCGTTAGCCTGCCATGGCTATAAACTAATTAACGCGTAAATCACCGTCCTGCGTACATCATGTCGTGGAGCGCACAGTGGACATCCTAGTTCGCGACGACCAAACTGTTGGTTGGAGCTCCTCGAAATAATGTACGAACTGGAATACGTAACCAGAGGGAAGCGTGACATTTCACCGTCTTCAAATAGTTGTTTTCAATCGGGATGCCTGTATGATAGGTTACCGCATTGGGTCAGAGGATGATGCTCGCGCCTCCGTTAATGTGCGCTTTCTTGTACCGTTGTATTCACTTCTTAAGCCCTACGTTTGAGCTAGAGTGCGTGCATTTCATGCTAAATTAGTCTCAAGATGGGTTCCTGTTAGTCTCTGTCGGCCTAGGAGACCAACGAAATTCGCTCTACTAGAGCCACTGAAAGCACGTGGACTCGTGAGTGCAGACACATTTAGCGGCTGTACGGTCACTCCTGCTCCGTTGATGCGGCTGAGTGAGTGTTGTTCAGCAGCGCCTTGTCGAAAGTACCTTGCCGTAGATAAACTGCCAGTCAATACTGCACATAACTATATTACACAGGCGGCATTATCTAGGCCGATCAGAGCACGCACAAACACTGTTGTCGTACTAAGAAGTTGCGAGTACTAAACTGGCGGTCTCCTCAAAAAGAATTGATAAAGTAGGCGCATACTATTACTTAGTCCAGTCTTGGCACTCGGCTCTCACCCATGGCCTTATGAACCCGTCATCAGAACTGCGACCACCTTCTCATAAACCTGTTCGACTGGCGACCCAAGCCAAATGGGAGCGGTCGACGTGTGTGCATCCCCTAAATAAGTTCTATTCTTCATCCTACCCCCAAGGAAAAGTCCTACGAAAAGGATGACATGCAGCCTCATAGGAGTCCCAGGAAAATTCGGGTAGTTTTTTCGAGAAAATAACGCCGTGGCTCAAAGCAGATTTTGGCCGTGGGTTATGAAATGGGCCCTACATTTCGACCTGCTGAAAGCGGTCTATACTAAACGGGAGATATCAGGGCTAGTTTTAGGTAGAAGATAAAATGAATATATGCATCACGACTCAATGGCAACCTCGTCCGTCAGATACTCTCAATAATGGCGAAAACGCAGCAGGAGAAAGGTATTGAGGACGCATCAAATAAAATGCATATTAATTTCGTTTACTCGCACGCGTCTTTGGACTTTGGCCTCAGCCAGTTTTACTCTCCGTGTGTCTACCTGTATAAAACACGCATATTACGTCGAATCAATTACAAATGAGAATAACAGCCAACATCGGGCCGTTAGCTATCAAATTCCAAAAGAATACTTATTCGTAGCATACTTTTATCTACCACATATGATAGAGTAAGGGGACAGAGATGAGAGAAACAATCTGGGAAATTTTATCATGTTATCACATGGCTGCCACTTGACGTCGTGCGAGCCCAAGCAATGTAGTGAACTGTGATGCGGAGTTGCATGCCGTCAAAATACTCACCTTATAATGAAGTCTACAATCCCTCCTTCGTGCGCGCACGCATTAAAACCGAGCGTGTGAGGCCTCATCTTCCCAATCTGCGCCTCTCGCACTCAGCCATAGGATTTCAAGTGCCTGCAACTGCTTAAGAACAGCTGTCCTGCCTGTCTCAAGAAATCTAACCTCGCCTCATGGCCATGAAGCCCTTAGTCAGGGAGAAAATATACATCCCATCGTCAATGCCCACCTCCCCTCCCCTTCCTCCCAAAAAAGGACCAACTCAGATGATTTAAAGAACAAGTTATACGAGGACCTATCGGCCCTCCTAGTGAGTGTGCCGAGGACGGACAAACAGATTCCTCTTAATGATTTCAATACCGGCGTTCCCACAGACCACGTAACCTAGGAAGGCGTAATAGGTAGCCAAGTATCGACTGCTAAACAGCAATAACCTTCGCCTCTTATAGGTAGTCACTTCATTTGCGACCTCACAGGCGACCAGAATATAAGTCAATATGAGGTAAGTTAAACATTTTATTACTGGATACGGATGGCCGTAGAGATAACTTGAACACTTGAATGGACTGAATTGCAGGCCCTGGAGAAGAATGTCCGTTCTGGGCATCAGTGAATGGAAACTCGGGGAATTTTTTGGCCCCCGTATTCGAAGTCATCCTAGCACACACTGATAACATCATAACTGGTTTGGTAGTAAGGGCAAAAAATCCGAAATTTACTCCACGTGACACACAGCCTACACACGGTCCAAAACATCAACAACGGCAATGCCAATGAAGTTGCATACTTCCTTGTGATGGGTAGAAATATGTTTTTTCCTGGCATAACAACGCCATCTGCTGACGCGCTGGCCTGCGCCCACTTAATCGGCATCGGCTCGGACACACGTGCGTCCACCGAGCCACTTTGCTCGATATCCGCTCAAACACATACGCCCCGACGGCCGCGTTCCCACCCCCACCCCATCCCTCCGGCAGGCACTCGGACAAGCCCTCCCCCCTGGGTCGATGCAATATGGGCGGCTATGGAAACCACCCCTGGGGCAATAAAATACTCAACACTTGGACGCCACTTAAACTTGGCCCACAACACAGATACTGGGGCGGTCACCGCTCCCTCGGGGATTCGCGGGCGCGACTGGATGCAGTTAACACCAACTCCCCCCCCCCCGCCTTGGCCAGTGGACCGCACATGGTTGAAGATATCTTCCGTCAGCTACACAAGGAAAATTCAAA